TCGACGGCACATAACAACAACAACAACAACAATAAATCATTTCAATTTCTTATTTACAGATCTATTCATGAACTTTCTCAATTTTTTTTATTAGGATATTGCTTTTGTGATGATGGCATAGCAGAGATCTCTGACCTCCTCATCTAACTTCATGAGGGGGAGATGGAATCATCTGCATTAACAGCCCAAGGCCGAGTCCTATGAGGCAGAGGTCAGACATGCCTCCACCCCCCAACCTTTTTACCAAATCTGACACCAACCATCCCTCCCACAGCATTCTACTTCTCAATTGAGTTCAGTAATTCATCGCAATGGCCACACAGAACTCACAGAAAATACTCAGGATCATTTTAGGTTTACTAGAGAAGGAACAATCCAGAAGGAACGCTCAGCATATAGTTCTTCAATTAGGACGGCCTCTTCTCAGCCATGCCTTGCAGGCATGCCTCTCTCTGGTCCTTGGCCCCTCGGCCTGGACTCTGTCCAGCTCTGGCAAGCATTACAAAGCTTTTAGCCCTGCAGGTAAGTGCCTGGAGGCACCTCACTCCACCAGTAAGCCCTGGACAGAAGGTGCTCAGCTCCAGCTCCGTGGGTCAGCAAACCTAACTCCACCAAAACCCGGAGGCACCTTTCTCCACCAGCAAGCCTCATGCCTAAAGATGCTCAGTGGTGGGCTGGGAAGGCCACTGTGCTGACTCCTGGTTCTGCTGCTACTATTTCTCTGCTGCTGCTTCTCACTGTCTATTTCCATCTCTGATGTGAAAGTTCTCTGTCTCCTGGGTCTAGGAGGTTCTCAGTGCAGGGATCCCCAGTACAAAGGACGCACTCCACTCCCATCTCTTTTTCTTGGAGGTCATGAGGTTCCTCCCTTTTCTGCCTCTGATATGGCTCGTTTTAAGCCTAGCAACCTGGTAAAATTGACCAACCCTTGGTAAGGTTCCATATATCTTATTTGCATGGTCCTACCTCCACAAACGTGCCATGCTATGTTATAATATTAGCATTATTAGCAAGCTGTCCAATCCCCTTAGTGGGCCACAAACACCTCAGTTGCATGTTGTTGTTATATACCATCAAGTCAGCCCCAACTCATAGCGACCCCTCCTTGGGTTTCCGAGGCAGTATCACTACGGAAGTAGATTGCCCAACCTTCCTTCCGAGGAGTGGCTGGTGGGTTTGAACTGCCAGCCTCCTGGTTAGCAGTCAAATGCCTTAGGCACTATGCTACCAGAGCTCCTCCTACTATAAATTAAAACACATAACAAACATGTCTGTCATTTGTCACTTACATGTTCCCTCAGTTTGAACACACATAGTTCTTGATCTTCTACACCCATGGTAAAAGCTCCAAGCTTTTCTAAAATGGAACTGGTACCATCTAATCCCCACCAGAACGCCTAACACCACCACCTGTGCACCTTTATAATCAATTTTCTCACAAGTGTACTGTTTTTAAGCCTTAAGTGCAAACGATAATATAGATTAGACTGGGGGACTTACAAACTTGCTAAGTCCAATGAACTCACAATCCTGTTTAACCAAGTGCTGAACTGGAAAATACAGAAAAACTTAAAATTGCTTTTACTTCCTCTATGCTTTGAATCCCTCAAATAACAAGCTGCTCATCATGGTTTGGGATAAAAAATTGTCTTTGGTCCTCCAAAAGATTCAAAAGATCTAACCTGTGGTGAGAAGGCAAAGAAGAAGAGAAAGCGTGAGCTCTAGAGCAGACAAACCTGGGTTTAGAATCCTGCTCTGTCATGTCCTTGCTGTGTGACCTTGATCAAATCATTTTGCCTCTCTGGGCCTCAATTTCCTCATCTATAAAATGAGAATAAAACTATGTGTTTTAGGATTAGTTGATGATTAAATGAGGTAAGGCATATAATGTCTATAGCCAGGAGCCCAGTATGTAGGAGGTGCACTTCAAGAAATGTGATTTTCTGACCCTGGTGGTGCTAAGTCAGTTACTTATTTAATTCAAAGGTTCTTACATAAAATGTTGACCTGAAATAGCTGTCGTAGCAAAACATAATCTGGGGTAAAAACATTTAGGTCAGCTTTCTGTCAACTGCAATTCCAACTGCTATAATTATGCAATCATCAACCACCACTGCGGGACAACAAACCACCAAAGCTGATGTTACTGAAATTGCTAAATACAGTAATTACTTGATTTTCAAGATCATGACCACCAATTCTTTTAAAAAACAACAGAAACTTTTGCAATTAGAAGAGCAAAAGCCTGATTATTAGTTATCCCTGACAGTGGTCTCCAAAGTAGAAAGCTTTTGGTCATTTGTCCAGAATGGCAGCAAACACCGAAGTCTTTCTCAAATTGCTGTTTTCTCACACTCCAAACTCTGAACGAAACAATGCCAACAAAAGAACTGACAGGAAGAAAGAGGGAAAGAAAGGGTATTCTCCATGGAAATTCAGCCTTCTTGGCACTGTTTCCTGGCAAGAGGCTCTAGCCTGGTGAAATAATCAGTAGGAGGAAAACATACCTTATGAAATCTATCAGCATGGCCCCTGTCTATGCAAAAAACAAGGAACATATTCTCCCTGTAAGTGTAGGTTCTAAATGTTAAGGGAAGGGAATGGTAGAGGAGGGGAAGGAAAGGGAACGGAACACAAGAGAAGGGAAGGGATCAAAGTACCGTTGACTAAGCACTTATGTGTAGAGTGTTGTACTACACACTTCAATTATGTTATCGTGCAAATCAAGCTATAAAGTAGTTATTATCCTTCCTCAGAAAATTTCTAATTTTACTTATTTTGTTGTTGGCATATACATAGCAAACATACACCAATTCAACACTCTCTACGTGTGTACTTCAGTGACACTGGTTACGTTCTTTGGATTGTGTAACCATCCTCAACCTCTAATTCTACGTTGTTCCTACACTTTTATTATAAGCTTACTGCCCTTTAAGGTTCCCATCTAATTTTTCAAGTTGCTGTTGTCAATTTGATCTCCTATAGATAGTTCTTAAAATCATATAATGCCCAAGGCAGACATTTTTTACTACTTAAGTTAAACTATTAATTGGTTTTAAAAAGACTTCAGGGGATATTTTGGGTTTAAGGTTTAAAGATTATCCCAGGACAATAGTTTCAGGGGTTCATTCACCCTCCACGGCTCCAGAAAGTCTGGAGTCCATAAGAATTTGACATTGTGTTCTCAATTTACTGCCTTTTGATCAAGATTCTTTTATAAAATCTTTGATAAAAAGGTTCAGTAATGGTAGCTGGGTACCATCCAGTTTTTCTAGTCTCACGGCAAAAGAGGCAGTTGTTTAGGGAAGCAATTAGCCACACGTTCCATTTCCTCCTATATCTGACTCTTTCTTCCTCTGCTGCTCCAAGGCAAACAGAGCCCAACCTTCCTCAGAAATTTTAGGTTTCATAGTTATTAAATGGAACCTCACTCCAGGACCCAGGTCCATCCAACTCTGAAATCTTTTTTTTTTTTTTTTTTTCCATTACACCTTCATCAAATCTCAAAACAATTATGCTAATTCTTCCTTAAAGAAAAGAATCTAATTTAAAATTTGGTTTCAAAAAAAAATAGACAAATAAATCAATCCCAACAAATTAAGTGCCCACCTAAAAAACGACCATTTCTAACATTTACCAGAATGGCAGTACACTCAGAAGTCTTTCTCAAATTGCTGTTTTCTCATACTCCATGCTCTGAAAGGAATAATGCCAACCAAAGAACTGACAAGAAAAAAGACTTTCAGAAAGTCTTTAAAACGAGCTGAAGGATTCATACACAGAACGCCTTTTTCTTTTTTAAAAACTTAATCTATAGAGAAAATGGTACCTGTTGACAATGACAGAGCACTGAAGCAGAAACAAGCATAGAACAGGTACAGGCTTCTCAACCACCTCACGAGTGTCTGCCAACAATATCTCGATAAAATCCAGGAACCAGAGCTTGGCTTGACTTCCAGTCTCTTCTCCATGGCCTTCCAGATAGGCAGACCAGTACACTAGAAAGAAAGAGAATTATACGCCAAGTAATTAATAATTGATTCCTGAAAATGTAGATGCTAGAAAATGTGAGATTAGAGGAAGAAAAATTTCAAGTCTGTCTTTCACTGTTCATTCCTGCCCCAAAATTTTAAACCTAAGCTTTGACATAGCCAGGATAACAACATAAATCTATTATAAACCTGAAACACTTTATATTCCATTATTTGCTAATCTAAACCACCTTTGTGATAGAACAGAAAGAGGATCAGCCTGAAACAAAGTAGATCTAAGTTTTAGTAGCTCTGCTACTACTAGCTTTGTGACTTCAGCCAAACACTCTTTCTTATCCATAAAAAGAAGAGGTTGGATCGTCAAAGATCAACTGATCTGAGGGTTTTGTCTGACTCAGATTTTAATTTTTAAAATGTGACTGTCTTTATGGAAGACATGCACTCTCCAGTGTGTTACTGTCCCCATAACTATTATCTAAAAATCTATCCAATTGACACTTCTATTTTCCATCCCTTGTCATTTGCAATGCCTAGCTTACATTCATATACACATCCAACAAATATTTTACACAGCCCTTACTGTATGCCAGGCAGTATGCCGGCTACTCTAGAATCTAGGTGCTGGATTACTTAGTCCCCTTTCACCAGAAAATTTCACCCATCAATTTCTTCTCTCTTACAGAACTCTGTTATACTGCATAATTATGTAAATCTTGGCAAGATTATGAGAGCTGATTGTGTTCTTAAGCAGTTCTGTCCAAAATGTTCAACTGTCAGCCACACCTGACAAATGGCACAAGTTAACAACCCCATCCCACCCTTGCCCACCAGGCAGCATATAGGAAGACTGATTACCATTGCCTGAGTTGGATATCAGTGCTAACATCAGGAAACACACACACACACACACAGAGCTGCAAAACTGAGATGCACCCCACCCAAGAAAAGGCTTTCACTGAAGTACTTCATCTTTCTCATTAACCTTCATCCATTCCTATTTCTAGTTGTTGTGTTAGAGAGCAGAGGGCAGAAAGGAGGTGTGTGGGCCAGAGAAATGTCCAAGAGATTATGAAATGGAGCCTAAGTTAGAAAGTATCTCCAACAACTTTTCTAGCCTTCCAAGCTGAAAACGGTGAGTGTACATGTGTATGCATCTGTGCGTGGATCTTACCCAACACAGTTCTGCCTGCCACAAAAGGATTTTAAACTCAAGGTGACTCAACACTTGTCTTCAATAGCCTGACAGGTAGGCGAAAGAAGCATAAAAGAAGGAATATGTTTCAAAAACAGGAGTAATAAACACCATTGCCCTAGCAAGCTGACTAGAAGTGCTGTATTTTACAAAACGCCTCAGAGAGAGGCAAAGCTAATTTCATTTGAACTCCAAACCAGTCATGCCTCTGAAACCTACAATCGCCTAAGGACACAAATCAATCCTAGGGTCCAGTTAAAGGCTTGCTGACCAGAGGTAGGAACAACAGAACACACCACCAAGATTTAAATAGCTCATTACAGAATCAAAGGGTAACAACCCAGGGAGAGAACACACACACCCCCACAATGGTTCACAAACGAAAATCTAGAAAAGCTTGCAATAGTTCTGGCATTTAGGGCGTTACAAGTACACTAGAAATAAAAGCACTCTCTGTTGCAGCAGCTGTTCAGACAGAGCAGGGGGTAATGTTTACTTAATACTTCGGGTTGATGGGGGATGTATCATAGTTCAGTCTGTCAGCTACATACGTGGAACTCCATTTATGTACACAGCGATAAGATTATGTTTGAACAATGACAGAGCACGTTTGAAACAGTCTATTCAGTGGTATGAGTAATCAAGAATAAAGCTATTAAATAAAATGTCGCAGATATTTGAGAAAGTTACAGAACAGACTGCCACGAATAGCTTTGCTTATATTTTCAGACATTGTTTTCCAAATAGCTGGAAAAATGAACAGACTGTTCCGGGAGGTCGTCTTTCCAATTTGTTCCTAGTTTCCAGTCTGTTAATCGCATAAAGCACAAGGAGAGTCTGCTAATGCTCCTTACTAACTGCATTTATTATCGGTCGGGCACGACCACCATGAGGTTGGAGAAGGTACAGCTTTCCTGGAATCCCGTCTAAGGCTTTCTCTTTTGACTTCCTTTCACCTTTGTGTTCACCGCGGCCACCACAGGCCCCTCTCTGGGGCATCATCTTCAAAATCCAGAATAACGCAAGTCTCCTATTACAATTTACACATCGTGCCGCCTTATTCTGCATCAACTTTCTATCCTGGTGGGGAGATCACACACCAGAGGCAGCAGCTAAGGGAGAGGCTGCAGAGGTCGTAGGTGGAAGGAGTGGAGCGCCCTGAGTCCGGTCAGTTTGTCAGTCTGTCAGGTGATGGAGCTGCATGAGAGGCCAGAGCCCGAAAGCAGCAGGGTTCAGCCTAGGGCCCGAGCTTACACCTGCAAGGCCAAAAGCAGCTGGCTAACTTGGCCAGGCCAGGAGCTCCACCTCCGAGTCACAACACTTAGCCTGCGCAACCCCAAGATCTCCCATCCCGCTTGCCCCTCCCCTGAGCTCAGGGTCCTTGGCTTGGCAGCCAGCCGCCCCCGGCCACCTACCGGGGCTCAGAGCCACACAGAGGGGCCCTGACTCTAGGCAGCCTCTGCCTCCTCCCGGTCCATGGGGTCGGGGCCCCAACCTTCCCTCTCCTCACCCAGGGAAAGAGGAAGAGGAAGAAGGTAGTGCGGGCTCCCCACCCTGACCAGCTACCTCTCGCCTCAGCCTTCTAGGACAGCCACGGCCGCCGGAAACACCGCCTCCTCCCACCTCCCCGGACTCAACCCGGAAGCACACCCTTTCTTACTAACCCAGCCCGCCTTCCCCCGGAAGCACAATTTAAGCCACGAGCCCGAAGGGGAGGAGGGGCAGCACTGGGAAGATAGTACTACGCCCACGTGAAGGAATCTGGGCCCTCAACCTTTCACCTCCAGCTCTAGAGAGGCGGTCTGCAACTTTGCCTCCCTCGCACAAGCTCAAGGTCCCAGAGTAGGGCAATACCCACAAGGAAGATGGCGACAACAGCAGCACCTCCTACGGCTTAGCGCCCAGCCGTGCTATTGGCCAAAGGTTGAAGTGAACTAGCCGTGGATTGGTCGAGAGCGGTGCGTGGGAGGGGGTGGAGCTGCGGCAGCCTGGAGCCCCGAGTGGGCAACGCAGCGTGAGCAGCTGCCCCAGTAGCGGCCCCAGGTTCCCGGAGCATCGTGCTCGGAGAAGACTTCGCCGCTCCGGGCCGCAGCCTGGTGAGCTCAGCCCCCTTCGGGCCCTACCCAGCATCCTAGCTGGGATCTCTCCGAACGGGCGCTGATCGATGCCGACATACCCCGGGGACCCTGTCGCGACTCCATCGCTCCATATCGCGACATCATCGTGCCCTGTCGAGACTCCATTTTGTCACAGCCCTTTTCAATATATATCTATATATTTTTTTAATTTGCCCTGTCATCTTTGGGGGCTATCCCATGTCGTGATTTTGCCGTGATCTCTCCGTGACATCACCGCGCCATCGTGAAGTGTGACCTCATCGCTGCCCTGTCGTGACTTCATCAATGTCGTGTTGTGACCTGGCTGCGGTGGGACAGGTGGTGACCGCCAGAAACCCTCTGCCCCTTTTCATCTCCCCATCTCAGCAGCCCCGCTTCGATTATCCGGCTTTTGGATTCTCCGTTGTACTGGGAGCTACCTGGGACCCCTTCTTGTTTCTCCAACCTCAGCCAGCATCTCCAGGCTGGTAGCAGGGCGAGGAGGGGGAGCTCAAGGGGTTAATTTTGCTGTTGCTGCTGCTGCTGCTGCTGCTGCTGCTGCTGCTGCTGCTGCAGCAGCCTTTGCCCGGGGGAGGGAGAGGAGAGAAGGCAAGGAGCCTGCGGGGGCGTCTGTGAGCCCTGGCTGTACGAGTGGGGTCCCCAGAGGGGGCTCCAAGCCTACGGTCTGCACCCTGCAAGCTCACTTTTGCTGAAGCTCATCCCTTGTCTCCTGTGAAGAAGGGAGGGGAAAGGAAGTCTAGGATGCCCTTTTCCCCCTTGTAGCCTGAGTCCGGATAATCGAACTTCGCCCATGTATGTCTTCATTCCTCCCTGTCTGTCCTTACCACACCCTCCCTGTGTGCCTTGATGAAAGGAGATAAGACCAGGCCTCTGGTGCCAGGGACAGCTGAGCAGTGGGGCCAGTCCCCTCCCACCCCCAGGAGATTGGTGAGGAGAGCTATCCAACTGAGCAGCAGGATGCATGGTCCTTCTTTCCCGCTTTCCAGAGGTGACCTTGGACCAGGGTCCCTTCCTTTTCCCTAAGGATTTTCAGGTCCAGCCCCTTAAAGAGGCTGTCCTGAGGGAGGTCAGTCCTGAGTACCCCACTTCCCCTGATTCACCACTCCCTCTGTGCTAATCCCTCCCTCCATCTTCCACCCCCACCCCCACCCCCGCCCCTCCTCTGCAGAGGGATGCTCAGTCCCTCTTGTGTTCACAGTTGGGCAAGGCGAGCACCATGGCCTCGGATTGTGAGCCAGCTCTGAACCAGGCAGAGGGCCGAAACCCCACCCTGGAACGCTACCTGGGAGCCCTCCGTGAGGCCAAGAATGACAGCGAGCAGTTTGCAGCCCTGCTGCTAGTAAGAAACTGGCTGAAAATTGGGAAGTGGGAAGAGCTGGGTGGTTGGGCTCTCTAGGAATGGGGTCATTGAGTCTCCAAGGACATACAGATGGTGCTGGGACCCCGGAGACACCAAAGAGGGGCCAAGACCCCTTCCTTTGCACTCTGTTTTGCTCCCCTGAGAATGAGGGCAGAGGGAAGAATGGGAGTGAAGGAGGGTTTGGGGCCCTGGAGGAGGCTGCCTGGGGCGTCCCAGAGCAGATGGGAGCTGACTCATAGGGTAACAGCAGCAGGTAGTAACTAGTGCAGAGTACTTGAGGGCTGGGGATGGCTGCTCTGGGGGTGGAAAGAGTAGCAGGATTGGAAGTGACTGGGGAGGAAACCTAAGGGATAGCCAGGGTGGCAATAAGTAGGTTGAGGATAAGGGAGCTGGTTTGGGCTTAGCCTTGTTGGAGGAACCTAAGCTGGGGACAGCAGAGCAGGAGCTGCAGTGCTGGGAAGGGGGGTAGTTGGTGTGTGGGGGTAAAGGGAGGAGGGAGAACAGCCACTGCTTGTTTGCCATGGCAACAGGGAGAAGGCTCCAGAGTCAAGGGCTCACACTGCAGCAGAGGAGGTGTTTAGGTGAAATAGAAGGGGAAGTGTTTTGACAGCGGAGCGGCGAGACACAGGAGCCATTTCCCCTGAGAAGGTGGCGGGAACGATCAGAGACTTCTCCAGAGGAAGCAATTAGGGAGGACCCTTATTCCTTGGAGGATTTTAAACACTGAGTTCTAAGCCCCTTCCCAGTCAGATTGTGGACATCTAGATTAAGCTTCAGGAAGACCCTCCCCACTGACCAGGTTATGAAATGCCAGGGTGAGTGGTTGAGAAGAAATAGACCTCCCTTGACAGAGGTATCTTAGATGAGAGGGAACCCAGAGGCCACACCTCTCTGGAAAGAGCTGGATAAGATGATCTCTGGGAGGCTTCCTGACCCAGAGTGAGTCTGTTGCATAACCTAATCCTGCTAGTCCTTAATGCTTCAGGGGGCAGGGAAGGGACCGTCCCCTTTTTCATCCTACTGACAGTACGTGCCCCCCCCACCAGGTGACCAAGGCAGTCAAAGCAGGTGACATCGATGCCAAAACTCGGCGGCGGATCTTCGATGCTGTGGGCTTTACCTTCCCCAATCGCCTCCTGACCACCAAGGAGGCACCGGATGGCTGCCCCGACCATGTTCTGCGGGCCCTGGGTGTGGCCCTGCTGGCCTGCTTCTGCAGTGACCCTGAGCTGGCCGCCCATCCCCAGGTCCTGAACAAGATCCCCATCCTTAGCACCTTCCTCACAGCCCGGGGGGACCCCGATGATGCTGCCCGCCGCTCTATGATTGACGACACCTACCAATGCCTGACAGCTGTGGCAGGCACACCCCGCGGGCCCCGGCACCTCATTGCTGGTGGCACTGTATCTGCCCTGTGTCAGGCATACCTAGGGCATGGTTATGGTTTTGACCAAGCACTGGCACTCCTTGTGGGGCTGCTGGCTGCTGCCGAGACCCAGTGCTGGAAGGAGGCAGAGCCTGACCTGCTGGCTGTGTTGCGAGGCCTCAGTGAGGATTTCCAGAAAGCTGAGGATGCCAGCAAGTTTGAGCTCTGCCAGCTGCTGCCCCTCTTTCTGCCCCCAACAACCGTGCCCCCTGAATGCCTCCGGGATCTGCAGGCCGGGCTGGCACGCATCCTGGGCAGCAAGCTGAGCTCCTGGCAGCGTAATCCTGCACTAAAGCTGGCAGCCCGCTTGGCACACGCCTGTGGCTCTGACTGGATCCCGGCTGGCAACTCGGGGAGCAAGTTCCTGGCCCTGCTGGTGAACCTGGCATGCGTTGAGGTGCGGCTGGCACTAGAGGAGACAGGCTCGGAGGTAAAAGAGGATGTAGTAACCGCCTGCTACGCCCTCATGGAGCTGGGCATCCAGGAGTGCACCCGCTGTGAGCAGTCCCTGCTTAAGGAGCCGCAGAAGGTGCAGCTCGTGAGCATCATGAAGGAGGCCATTGGGGCTGTCATTCACTACCTGCAGCAGGTAAGGGTGTCACGGTCCATAGATGGATCCCAGGGTGGAGGAAGCCAATGCAGGAGCCAGAAACCAAGGGAAAGGGAATGGTGAAGTGCCCCCTCACCCACCCAACATGTGATGGGAAACAGGGAAGATGCCTGTCCACGCACGCTGATGCTGCAGCAGGCACACCCGGGAGTAGTGTTTGGCCTCCCCCCCGCTCCTCCCAGAGCCTCCACACAAGCACCATACCACACACCATATGCGCATTCACATCACAGTACACAGACACACACACAACACAGTAACCTCCCACCCACACAACAACCTCCCCTCAACACACTATACATGACACACCTCTCCTTAACACATACACGAGAAGCAGTGTGTTCTCCATCTATAACACTGTTTTACATACACATACATACAAACTGGTGATTATTCAGGGACAGAGAGCAAGGCAGCCTGGTTTTTGGTTTCTGTAGTGGTTTGGTTAATGCTATTTGACTCCCTCCCCTATTTCTTCCTCCCTCCCTGTCTGAGAGTCCAGCCCTCTTGTCCCAGGGATTCAGTCCTCACTTTAGTCATTTTACTAGCCTGCTCCAGCCACTGAACCCACAAGCCATGTAGCTCACACACTACCAAACTCTCATTGTCTTTCTAATTTAGCCCAAAAGGGGATATCTCCTCCTGCCACTCCCACCGATGAGGGAGTATGCACAGTAGCCAGGGTCCTATCCTCCTACCCTATGTCAGAGCTACTATAGAGGAGTGTTTACTTAGCTTTGGACCTGTGAATTTCCTTCTAGCCTTCAAGATGGGGCACAGAGGGGATTAGGATGCGCTTTGAGTCCCAATGAGTGTGGGGTGTGTTGTCTGAGGTTCGGCTCACTCCGCAGATACACACTGAGTATATGCTCCAGGCCAGGCATCTGTTGGGGGTGTGTCTGCTTTGTGTTAGGTGCTGGACACAGGGCACAGCAAAGCTTGGTACCTGCCTCTAAAGGGCTTCTAGGCTAGAACCCTCTCCTAGTCATGTTGTTTCTGGGGTAGCCAAATAGAGGAGTGTCTCTGGTCCTGCCCCATCTCAAGGGGGTCCTGTGGCAACAGGTGGGGTCGGAGAAGCAGAAGGAACCATTTGTGTTTGCCTCGGTGCGGATCCTGGGCGCCTGGCTGGCCGAGGAGACCTCATCGCTGCGCAAGGAGGTCTGCCAGCTGCTGCCCTTCCTCGTCCGCTATGCCAAGACCCTCTATGAGGAGGCTGAGGAGGCCAGTGACCTCTCCCAGCAGGTGGCCAACCTGGCCATCTCCCCTACCACTCCAGGGCCCACCTGGCCAGGAGACGCTCTCCGGTGAGTTTGCAGTCATAGTCTATCCACCTAGACCTTGTTCTGAGAAAAGTATAACACAGGGATCCCTTCCCCAAACTAGGCTATGCCAGTCTCTTGACTGGGGCATGAGATTTTCTATAGGATTATTTCGTTTTGGAGAGACCTGTTCTCACAGGGCTCTTGGGCTGCCAAATGTCACTTAACAACCCCAAATTTCTTTATAAAAAGAGAACTCATTTATTGGGCACCTGCTCTTTCCCAGACATTTTGCTCTACCTTTTGCCAAAGTGATCTCATTTGGTCTATACAGTGAATCTATGGCGTAAGTCTTATTCTCATTTTAAAGAGGCTCAAAGAGGTAAAGTAACTTGCTCAAAACCACATTTGAGCCCAAATTTGATCCTAGGCTTATGTAACTCCAAAGCTCGTATTTTTTCTATGGCCTCTACAAGGAAGTATCTTTCTTTTCCCCAATTTCCATTTCTCTTAGGTAGGGTGTCCCCAAAAAGCAAATTCTGTGCCTTCATCTCTTCCAACCCCACACACATCTGTCCCTTCCACACCCCCAGGCTCCTTCTCCCCGGCTGGTGCCACCTGACAGTGGAAGATGGGCCCCGGGAGATCCTGATCAAAGAGGGGGCTCCCTCACTCCTGTGCAAGTATTTCCTGCAACAGTGGGAACTCACATCCCCTGGACATGACACCTCAGTGTTGCCCGACAGCGTGGAGATCGGCCTGCAGACTTGCTGCCACATCTTCCTCAACCTCGTGGTCACTGCACCAGGGCTGATCAAGTGAGGGGCTTGGGAGGGGCTGGGGAGGAAGCAAAGGGGGCTGCTCAAACTTGCCTCAAACTTCAGTCTCCTGTTTTGCTTCCCTGTGCCAACAGGTTTCTGTTAGTGTTTGTTTTGGTTACCTAGTACCACTCTGACAAGAATATACCACAAATGGGATGGCTGGAACAAACAGGAGCTTTTTCTTTTACAGTTTGGAGGTTTTAAGTCCAAGTTCAAAGTGTCAGGCTCTAGAGGCTGGGTGAAAGCCCCTCAGCCTTGGGCTTTTCTGCTCTGCTTCCTGCTCCCGGCCTGCTGAAGCTAGAGGCTTTTCTTTACTCAGACAGCTGCTGGCTGCTGACACTGACAAGCCCAAGGTTGACAAGTAAAAGGCACCGTCCCGATGTTACCAACCACACAGCAGGCTGTTAATTCAAGTCCATTGAAAGTCCCAAAACTGGCAGAGCACGGCAGGCTGCTGAACAACAAAATGGCTACATGCAGGGTTCAAGTGTGCCATAAGCTAGAGACCATTCCCAAAACGTTTCTCATACACAGGAAGCAGACCACATACCCAAAGCAGCTGCTTAGCTGCTCCAGTAGATTCCACCAGGGAGTTAATTACCAGTCTCACCAGGGAATAATTACATTCAGCTGCCCAGCCACCAACCACGCCCAGCCAAGTTGCCACACAAACTTCACCACCACAGTGTTAGAGTGAAAATGTGTCATAGTAGACAAATGGCAGCCCCACACAAGGATTTCACACACCTTGAACCCCCAGGAATTCTCCAGGCATATCTTCCCATTCTAGCCCTAACCCAGTCTCTGCTCCCCAGATGCCATGTTGCAATCTAGTATTACCTCTTCCTTCTGCTGCCTAATTTCTTGCCAAAGCCTGGCCCAGTGATGCTGGGAGCTTAGGATCCCAGGTCTTCTAAAGGGTTGATGTGGTTCTACTAACCCCCACCTCTCTCCATCCTTCCCCAGGCGTGATGCCTGCTTCACATCTCTCATGAACACCCTGATGACGTCGCTGCCTGCACTCGTGCAGCAACAGGGGAGGCTGCTGCTAGCCGCCAATGTAGCCACCCTGGGCCTCCTCATGGCCCGGCTCCTTAGCACCTCTCCAGGTAAGCCCTTGGGGACCCAGTCTTAATGAGTGGCGGTTAGAAGACCTGGGCAGACCTCCTCTGTTCCAGGCATAAGTCACCATCATCAGAAAAAGATTTTACAGAATTTTCCAGCCAAGAGGAAATCTCTGAAGTATACTCCCATCCCCCACCCCCACCTTCTCAAAATGACAACGTTCCTTCCTCCTAAAGATTTTTAAGGCAAGGTCTGGTGGGTGTTAAGTGCAGGCCTGCTCAGAGGCACAGGCATAGGCCTTTAGAATCCCCAGCGGCCCCGGAAATAAGAATCCAGTGTTTTCAAGGTGGAGCCACCCCCACTCAGGCCTGAGTCAGAAACCTAACTTCCCTCCATTAAGGTTTTTGTCTACTCAGTACCTCACCTCCTTGGTGGCAAGCTTCAGGGTTCTGTATTCCTCTGCAATACTCTCCCCAAATCTGGCTGAGTATGGGGGGAGGGGTGTCCCCTCCAGCCCCTGCCAGCCCTCTGTGTCTCCCACTTTGGCTGTGGGTGTCTGCTTGGGTCCCTCTGTCCCCGCCTGTTCCCTATGCCCCATCTGTCAGGTTGGAGGAGCTGAGCAGATGCCTGGGAACAGGGTGTAATGTACCCTTAGCTGCCTCTTCATTCCCTGTGTGGGGACCGCAGCAGGGTACCCTGCAGTGGGAAGGGGGAGGCATGGCCCAGTGGTTGAGAAGGCCCCCAGACTCCTGCAGTCCCAGGCTGCACCTCCATGGCCCGTGAGTAGAGCCACCACATCCTGTCCCCAGTGCTGACTTCCCCCACAAATGCCACCAGGTTAGACTAACAGCCTCCTGGAAAGCTGCTGCTGTGTGGGGGCACACCCCTGCCTAGAAGGTAAGCAAAAGTCATTTCACCAGCTCATGTTCCCCTCTGGCACCCCCTTCTGGCCCAAGCATCAAATGGCTGTAGCCCCCTTAGCCTTTGGAAGAACTCTTGACCAAGCAGCTGCTGTGGTTACCACTGGGACTGCTGGAGGACTCTCCCACATTCTGTACCTTAGAACTCTTGGTAGTAAGGGTACTGAGATGTTGCTGTTGCTGTTGCTGTTGTTGTTGTTGTTGTGTGCCATCAAGTCGATTCTGAGTCCTAGCAACCCGATAGGACAGAGTAGGGCTGCCCTAGGGTTTCCTAGGCTAAAATCTTCACAGGAGCAGATCATCAGGTCTTTTCCCCCACAGAGCCACTAGTGGGTTCAAACCAGTGACTTGAAAGTCAGCAACCAGGCTTTTAACCAGTGCGCCACCAGGCCTCCTTAGATTAGCACTATTGTCCAATTTTTACAAATGAAAAAACTGAGATTCAGAGACGTTAAATAAATTACCCAAGGTCCATAGAAATTTCAAAGGTGGGGTTTGAACCCAGACAGTCTGACTTCAGGCTCTACTGCCTTGGAACAGAAGTATGTCCACACAGGAAGGGAAAGGTGGGGTCTCATAAAGCAGCTTGCCCACTGGTTCATGCCCCTGCACCCTCCTTGCCTTCCAGCTCTTCAGGGGACACCAGCCTCCCGAGGCTTCTTTGCAGCTGCCATCCTCTTCCTTTCACAGTCCCACGTGGCACGGGCCACACCTGGCTCGGACCAGGCAGTGCTGGCCCTGTCCCCTGACTATGAGGGCATCTGGGCCGACTTACAGGAGCTCTGGTTCCTAGGTATGCAGGCCTTCACAGGCTGCGTGCCACTGCTGCCCTGGCTGGCCCCCGCTGCCCTGCGTTCCCGCTGGCCACAGGAGCTGCTCCAGCTGCTGGGCAGCGTCAGCCCCACCTCCGTCAAGCCTGAGATGGTGGCTGCCTATCAGGGTGTCCTGGTGGAGCTGGCCCGGGCCAACCGGCTGTGCCGGGAAGCCATGCGGCTTCAAGCAGGCGAGGAGACAGCCAGCCACTATCGCATGGCCGCCCTGGAGCAGTGCCTGTCAGAGCCCTGAGGGGTGTCCACTGGGGACAGACCCAGGGGTGGTAGTGAGGGAAGGAGGGAGGAGGCATCTTCCCTGAAGCCCCCAAACTAAATCTTCCTCTAGACTCTACCCGCAAACCCCCTAGCTTTCTGGCTTTTCTGAGGGCGAGGGCGTAGTGCCTGCCCTTCAAGTGTAAGGAACTGTATCCTGTCCCCCGGGCCTTCACAGGGGCAGGGATCAGCTTGGAAATCAACATGGATGTCCCTGCCAGGCTGGGGAAGGTTGGAGTGACCCCCAGGGAGGGGGCACTAGGTATTGTGCCCGACATCTGGCTCCCCACAGGAGGGAGGCCCTGGGGTAGGACAGGGCTGGCAGGAGCTGACTCCCTCAGCCCATGTGCCCTGCCGGCCAGGGCGTGGGCTCCCCTAGGCTGTGGTGCCCCCTCTGGCCCTCCAGGTCTCACGTCCTTTAAATTGGCCCTTTTGCTCTTGCCCTTGGACCCTTGGGCAGAGAGCAGGCTCAGGCCATTGACATCACAGTTCTTACCAGCTTTGATGACCCAGGGTCTGAACTGCCTCCATCCTTCCTGGGGGCAGACAGGCCTGGTAAGGGGGTGGGGAAACCTCCTTCCACCTAAGCTTCCTTGAGGAGACCTAGGAGTCCTTGATCCCTGGTCTCCAGGCTTTTGTGTTGTGTTGCAGCAGAGTGACAGTGGGGGTTGAGGGGTTATTTATTTTGCCTGTCCTTACCCTGCTTGGACGCCTAAGCGTCTGATCCCTGTTCCCCTGGTGCCATCTGGCCTGGCTAGAGGCAGGAACAGGAGGGACCCTTCTCCAGATTCCGCATGTTTCCACAGTGATTGCACCCCATCGCCACTGTGGTGCCTGGCTCTAACTCCCACCCGTACTATGACTCCTCTCTGCAGAGACGCGACTTGCGGCTCCAGCAGGGGTTACCTTTCCTATGATCCCAGGCTCCCCGACCCTGGTTCCTTCCCCTCCCCCTTCCTTCCCCCCAGTATGTTCTGTGATCGCCAAGTTCAAAGCTGTGCACATGTGAACACTCAATAAATGTTCATTGGTGACAAGATGGCTCCTGCGTGGTCTGTCCTGTACCTTGTCTATGCCTTCCAGGAGCCACCAACTCACAGCTGCCAGTTGCTGCACGCACGCTCTGCTAAGTACACTTCATGAGTGTTAATTCAGCCCTCATAAGAATCCTGTGAAGAAGGCACTATTACTCTGATTTTACAGATGAAGACATGTAGGCAGATAAATGATTTGCCCAGCATTGTAGCTAGCGAGTGCCAGAGCCAGGACCCCAAGCAGCCCATCAACTGACTAGTCCACACTCATTGCTGGTGCGCCAGGTTCAGAGACATGTATCCGGGGTCAAGCCTGGTGGGGGATCTGGTGCTCTGTGCCCAGAAGTAGTGGCTGGCCCTCAACATCAGCAGTTCGTTGCCAAGAGGCAGTATAGACTTGGCAATCCCAGACTCCTCCAGTATTTAAAGAGAATTCAGAAAAATCTCATATGAAATTTGATTTTTTTAGTGTTGGCAACTACTTAAAAAAATGAAATCACCACTGTCCCGATAAAACATCTGTAAGCCAAACGGGTTTATGGGCTACCAACTGTTCACCTCTGTTCAATGCCAAGTGAGAAGGGGAAGAGCCTGAGAGCTTTGGCAGGAAACGAGCCAAGCACCCAGTGCCTTACCAGGCCTGAGCCAACCCTCAGGTAGAGACAGCCCAGCCTCACTCTCACCCTTTGCAGACTGCCTTCTCCACCTAGGCCCTTGGAGCCATAAGCATTTGCTCAGCGTGTGCTATGTGCCAACCTATGCTTGGTTATGCATGGGCAGACAGAAACAAGTCAGTCATTGGATGTACCAAAAGCCATGTTCTTGGCATGGATTCTCTGGAGCAAATATGAACAGGCCTTGCCTGCAAGCAGCTAAAATCTAAAGGGGAGACAGACAACAGATAGCCCAGGAAGGTGTAGACGTGAAGGTCAGTACAAAGTACAGCTGGAGCAGCAGAGCGTCAGCCTTGCTGAATGAGCCTTGGGAAAACTCGGGAAGTATTTGCTCTGAGACCTGAAAGGTGAGGAGGGACATGCTATATAGGCAAGTAGTTCATTACTCCTAATGTGAAGTGTGGAGTGATGGCAAATGAAGTTGGACAAGTAGGCATGGACCAGATGATACAAATCCCAGTATGCTATGCTAAGCCCAGTGGTATGATCATGCTGAGGGATCAGACTGCAGCTTTTTGAGCAGATTGAATGTGATCTGGTTTATATCTTAGGAAGACGACTTTGGCTGCAGGATAGACAACTTGAGGCAGGAAGCTCACAGGAGAGGTGAGGACTGAGCTAAGGCGGTGGCAATGAGGATGGAGAAGGTATAGGTAACCATTGTTGAGTCAGTTCGGACTTTACCACATGTGTTAACAAAGTAGAACAGACCTCCATGGGATTTTCTTGGCTGTCATCTTTACAGAAGCAGGTCACCAGTCTTTTTCCTGTGGTGCTGTTGGGTGGGTCCGAACTACCAACCTTTAGTCAAACATAAACCATTTGCACCACCCAGAGGAATTAGTTGATAAGACTTGGTGGTTAGTCAGAACTAAAGGGGGATGAAGGAAAGGGGAGAGCCAAGAATGTCTTCCAGATTCCTGATCTGGTCCACTGAATGGGGAGCATTGGAAGATACATGCGTTTGTGAGGAATATAAGCTCAATTTGGTAAATGTGAACTTGTACTGCTTGTGGAATATCCAAGGAGGCAGTTGGTTACTATGGTCTAGAACTCAAGAGGTCTGGGTGTGTGACAGATTTGAGATTGTCAATATAGAGAATCCTTAAGGTCATGGGAGTGGCTGAGATCAACTGAGGAAATGAAAAGAGAAAGGAAGTGCACCGGAGCAAGTGACAACTGCACACAGTCCCTGCTCTCAAGGTGCTCTCCTCATGCAATGGGGGAGCCAGACCCTCAGAAAGACACATAATACAAGGAAGACTGAGCTCTGTGCTTTGATATTTGTTATTTGCCGTTGAGTCAGACCCGACTCATAGTGACCTCTCCTTGGGTTTCCGAGGCAGTATCACTACAGAAGTAGATGCCCAACCTTCCTTCCAAGGGGTGGCTGGTGGATTTGAACCGCCAGCCTTCTGGTTAGCAGTCAAGTGCCTTAGGCAGTATGCTACCAAAGATTCTGTGCTTTGATAAGGGATGGTCAGAGAGCTCTGGCTACAGAGTGCTAAGAGGCTCTAGATTAACTTGGTAGGAGCAAGACTGCTCTTGCTGACTCAACTAATACGAAAAAGATCTCTGAGCTGCAATTGTGAGATCTGTCCACAAGGTGGTGCCTCAGCATCTCCTTGTGCCAGATCCAGGCCCCGCCTCCCCCCACCCCACCCCCTCAACACAAACTAATCCAGCTTCAGAGCTGGAGGTCGTCAGAGACTGGGAAGAGGTAGGTGGCTGTGTCACTTTAATTTTTTCTTAACAAAATCCAAATTCAAGCTCATTTTTTGAGAACAGAGGGAAAGAGTTGAGCCTGGGAGCCCCCAACTCATGGCAACTCCATGTGTGTCAGAGTAGAACTGTGTTCCCTAGGGTTTTCGATGGCAAATTTTTCAACGTAGACTGCCAGGCCTTTCTTCCAAAGTACCTCTGGGTGAACTCAAATCCCTAGTCTATCAGCAGCTGAGCACATTAACCATTTGCACCAACCACAAACTCATCAGATCAGATAACTTTTCCGAATTATGCCTCGTCTGTATGTCTACCCAGGGTCATATTCACATGTAGACCTCAGTTGGCTAAAAAATCATAAAACCAAAAACCAAACACACTGCCATGGAGTCGGATCCAACTCATAGTGACCCTTCCTTGGGTTTCCGAGGTGGTATCACTACGGAAGTAGATTGCCCAACCTTCCTTCTGAGGAGTGGCTGGTGGGTTTGAACCACCAGCCTTCTGGTTGGCAGTCAAATGCCTCAGGCACTACTCATCCATTAATTCATTTATTTAATTAGCCTTTCTTTAGCACCTGCCATGCACCAAGCACAGTGCTGGATATATTTTGTTTTTTTTTCTTTTTCTCTTTTTTTCTTTTAATTGTGCTTTGGGTACAAATTTACAAAGCAGATTTGTTTTATATTCAACAGTCCAGGCACATTTGATTTCATGGTCCCAATTACCATCCCCAACCATAATAAACTCTCCTTCCCTCTCCTCCCTGTGACCACTCCATCCCTGTGCCCTTCTTATGTATGCATTCCTTCCTGTCCAGCTTTCCCTCTATGTGAATGCCGCTCCTCTGATGCCTCATGGCTGGTTGATCTAAGGGGTGCATCTCCCTACAGTAGGTGGATGCATCTCCCTGGGGTAGGTGTTTTGCATGTAGGTCTTTCTACTGTTGGGCTGAGAGCCAATCCATGGAAGTGAGTCCATTTCTAGACCAGAAGGGTAACCTGGGGCCATAGTCTCGGGGATTCCACCAGTCTCTATCCTGCCAGTAATTCTGGTCATTTTTGTGTTTTCGACTTTTGTTCCACATTCTTCCTCCCACTCTATCCAGAATCTCCAATTTTGTTCCCTTTCCAAGCACTTGGCATTGGTAGCTGAGTACCACATAGTTCTTCTGGTCTGTTTTTTTTTGTTTTGTTTTGTTTTGTTTTGTTTTTTCTTAAATCTTCTACTTGTGAAGTATTTGATGAGAAGGAAAGCTAGCTGTACTTGTGAAGGGTCTGGAACGTCATGTTAGAGTATTTGAACATTCTTTCTTGTAGATGGGCCATGGGTAGTCCCAGGAGAGTTTTCAGTAGGGAAGTAACATGATCCTTGCTGCTCAGTGGAATTGGATTTGGATCAGATGATACACTAGCCTTTCAGTTAGTAGACAAGTGCTTTACCACTGAACCACCAGGGCTCCTCTTGTAACAAAAAAAAAAAAAAAAAAAAACATTGCCATTGAGTATGTTTCCACTCATAGTGACCCTATATGACAGAGCAGAACTGCCCTATAGGGTTTCCTATGCTGTAAATCTTTACAAAAGCAGACTGCCACATCTTCCTCAGAGTGACTGGTGGGTTCAAATAGCTAAACTTCTAGTTAGCAGCTTAACCACTGCACCACCAGGTCTCCTTCATAAAGATTACAACCAAGAAAACCCTATGGAGCAGTTCTACTCTGTAACACATGGGGTCGTCATGGATCAGAATCAACTGGACGGCAATGGGTTTTATGGGTAGCAAAGGTCTAGACAGTCATTCTCAAACTTTAGAGTTTGAGTCACCTATAAGTCTGGAGTGGGGCCCAAGAACTGGCATTTCTATAAGTTTCCAGATGTTATGCTGCTAGTCTGGGGACCACACTTTGAGAACTACTGGTCTATGAGAAAGAGTATGGTAGCTTAAGGGGATGTCAGAGGGGTGGGGAGAGTTGTTTAGGGGTTAGAAATGACAATACTCCATGAGAATTGGCTTCTGGGGGTGAGGGAATGGTAAAAGTCTGGGATGACTGCCAAGTTTTTGACTTGAAGGATAGTAGAGCCATTTAGCAAATGATAGAACATAGGAGGAGAAACAGATTGGGGCTGGTGGTAAGGATGGAGATGTTGAGTTCAATTTTGGATTTGAAAAGTTTCAGGTAGCTGCAATGATATGTCTGGATAAAATATCCAGCTGGCAATTACATCCATGGGTCTATATCTCTAGTGAGAAATACAGTCTGGAAATAAGATGTTTGGGAGATAATAGATGTTGTTAGGTGCTGTTGAGTCAGTTCCAACTCATAGTGACCCTATGTACAATAGAGGGAAACACTGCCCAGTCCTGTGCCATCCTTACCATCACTGTATGCTTGAGCCATTGTTGCAGCCACTACGTCAATCCATCTCACCGAGGATCTTCCTCTTTTTCACTGACCATCTACTTTACCAAGCACAATGTCCTTCTCCAGGGACTTGTCCAAACATGACCAAAGTATGAGAGGCAAAGCCTCACTTCCATCCTTGCTTCTAAGGAGCATTCTAGCTGTACTTCATCCAAGACAGATTTGTTTGTTCTCCTGGTAGTCCATGGTCTCTTCAATATTCTTCACCAACGTCATAATTTAAATAACAGGTAGGTAGTCATTAAAGACTTGGGAGGGAATGAATTCATGAAGAGGATAGATTGGAAACAAAGGCAGAAGCTTGAACTCTGAGAATGAATAACTGACATAGAGATGTGGGTGAACAAAGAGACAGAAAAGAAGACTGAGAAATGGTCCAGGTAGAAAGAGGAGAACCAGGTAAGAAGGTTAATATGCAGAGAAGTAGGCCAAGGAAACCCAAGGAAGCCACTGGACAAGCAGACTGTCTTGTCATTCTGGCTTTCCTGAGCCTGCTGGAGAGAAGGGAATCTCCATAGCTGATTATGGACAACATCATCACCATTGCTGCTCTTTTGACTTTTCCCAAATGGGTCCACCAACTTATGTGTCATGAACTGATACATATATACTTGTACACCTGACTTTGACCCTTACTTCTGATGTGTTGTGGCTAAAGTTGTGGGTGAGGGGACCAAAGGTGTTGCCACAGAAGTCACACACTCAGATAGATAGATAGATAGATAGACACACACACACACACACACACACACAAAACATACTCCTGACCACTGAGCAGGGAAGTTGCAGAACTGCTCCAATTCTGTTTTATCCACTAGCCGGTGGTTCCAGCTTCTGAAAGTTCTTAGTGATGAATCCTTTGCTCCCAGCCTCTCCTTCTTCAGGATGAAATGACCCAGGCCTGAGCTCTGTACCAACTATGAGCCTTCTGGGATACACTTTCAAGTCTCCTCCACATACATTCCACAGATTAATGGTGTCACCTCTATCTCTTCTCCTTTTATCTACCATAATATTTTTTTGTTACCCTTACTTTCCCATCTTCCACTTAAAGTGAACTAAGAAAATATGTAGTCCTCCAGTCCTTCCCTAGTTTTTTTTTTAGTGGAAGTTGTGGAAACTGAGGTCAAAGAGGAAAAGGGTCACACAGCCAGTCACAGTCAGGACTAAATTCTAGTACAGGCAGTACAGAACAGTTTGAGCTGAAGGAGGAGATAGAGCCAGACTACCCCAGCTCTGCTACTTAACCAGCTGTTTGACCTTGGGCAAGTCACTTAACCTCTTTGTGCCTTATTTTGCTTATCTGAAGATGGAGATGGTAAGGCTATCTCTCTCATAGGGCTTTATGAGGATTATATGACTCAGTATTCATGAAGCAGTTAGCACAGAGTCTGGAAGACTCTAAAAAATGTTTGCTGTGATTATTTCTATGATGTTCTGGTCCCTGCATCCTCTTGCTTTTTCTTCTTTCCGCTTTCTTAATTTCCATTCTCCTTAGCATTCCTCTCTCCTCCGAAGGAAGGTTGGGCAATCTACTTCTGTAGTGATTAGTGACACTGCCTCAGAAACCCAAGGAGGGGTCGCTATGAGTCGGATCCAACTCTATGGCAGTGAGTTTGGGTTTTTGTTTTGTTTTGTTTTTTAGCATTCCTCAAATTTCCCTTTCTTTAGTCCTTGTCCCTGTTTTTAGGAGAGGAGGGCTGAGTGTTGGGAGAAAGAGGGAAAGACTGCAGATACTGGAACATGAATAAGAATCCAGCAGTGCAACAAATAAACACACAGCCTGTGCATATTAGTGTAACAATTTGTGCACCATCCACATGGGTCAGTTACACACACTCAATAGTCTACAGTCTCTGGGAGTGTCTCAATCATTCCAGGCACTTATGGCTTCAGAAACATTTTGATCCTTTCTCAGGTGGAATTTGTGTCCTAGCTCCCGGAAACTTTGGTCACTTTGTGCCTTCAATTTCCTAAGGTCCTCGCTTGGCAATGGGAGTTACCAAACCCGGGCAGCCTGAGCAAAGTGGGCACTTTGATAGAACCGAGACCCAGATCTAGGGCTCCTGTGTCCCTGCCTCGAATTATTCTGTTTCACCGCAAGCTGTGAGCTGCCAGTGCAGAAGGCAACTCAGACTTAGCGGAGGTTGGATTTAAGCCCCCACTGCACCCCACAAAGGTCCCAGCAAAGCCACGCCTCCCCTAAGGCGGCCGCTGGGGGAAAGGGAGAAAGCGGTCACAGCGTGTCTCTTTAATGCGCGCCCCCGGAGGCCCGGCGCGCCCCCGTCGCTATAATTGGAGTGCATGGAGCAGGCTGCTCTCATAGAGAGAAGGGCAAGCGCTGGGCACCCATTGACCGACTTTTCAAAGTAAGATCCGTGCCCGTCTGGCCCGGGGACAACCTGTTTGACCCACGTCCCGCCCCCATGGACCCGCCCGGGGTCGCCCACCGCTGAGGACCCGACGCCTGCAGAAGTGCACCCTGCCGCTGTGCCGTGACCCTCAGGGCTGTGCGGCCTCCCACTGCCTCTTTACGCAGCGCTCGCCGTCGGGCGAGGGCTCTACCGCCGCCACGCCTCACACCTCGAACTACCCGACCCATGCTGGTGCATACTTATTCAGCCATGGTGAGTAGTATGGGGTCTCCTGGCGTGGGAACGTACTGGTTCGAGGGATCTGGGAGTCTGAGAACTGGACCCCCCTACCTCCTGCCCCGCGCCAAAGAAATTTCGCAGGGAGCGGGCCACAAGGACTTCGTCAGCTGAGAGCGCTGTGTGAAGAAGACCTCTGTCCTCAGCCTGACACTCCCGCGCCCTCGGGTCACAGAAATGGAACTCGAGCCCCGGGAAGCGGGGGTGGAGGGGATGGCAACTACAGAAGGGTTGGACTTGGAGCGTCCTTTTCGCCTGCGCTCCGCTCGCTATGGGTCGCCTAACTCTCCCCTCTCCTTTCTCAGGAGCGCCCGGATGGGTTGGGCGCAGCGGCAGGCGGAGCCCGTCTGTCATCTCTGCCCCAGGCAGCCTACGGGCCGGCGCCGCCGCTCTGCCACACGCCGGCCGCCGCCGCTGCCGCAGACTTCCAACCGCCCTACTTCCCGCCGCCCTACCCGCAGCCGCCGCTGCCCTACGGCCAGGCGCCCGACGCAGCCGCCGCCTTTCCTCACCTGGCGGGGGACCCGTACGGCGGCCTGGCGCCCCTAGCGCAGCCTCAGCCTCCACAGGCCGCCTGGGCCGCGCCCCGAGCCGCCGCCCGGGCCCACGACGAACCGCCCGGCCTGCTGGCGCCGCCCGCCCGCACCTTGGGCCTGGACCCGCGCCGCGAGTACGCCGCCGCGGTGCCCCGGCTCCTTCACGGCTTGGCAGACGGCGCGCACGGCCTGGCGGATGCGTCCCTTGGTCTCCCCGGACTGGCGGCACCGCCTGGCCTGGAGGACCTGCAGGTGAGACCTGAGGGGTCAGAGATGGGCTGGGCTGGGCCACCGAGCCCAGGGGCCTTGGGACTCTGGCTTAATGCCTAGGGTGATGAATTTGAGAACCTGGCCTCTCCCCTAGTCCGCCACTTGTCGCTCGTGATGCAGATGTGTCCCACGTCTTGTGTTAGATGCCACCAGGTATTGAGGCGGTGTGTGGTGCCTGGCTGGCGGCCACTCTCAGCGGAGTAGATGGACAGGGGCAGAACTAGTTCTTTCCCTCCCCACCAGGTTGCTGAGCCACGTAGAGCATCCATGCCCAGGCCCAATCTACTGGGGCAGTAGCGGCTAGGGTGCAGAGAGATGGAGAATTGTTTGTCAAAGATTCATAACTCTCTTTTTGGACGACACAGCACCGTGAAGTATCCAGGACTCCGACTCATTTGCAGATGGTGCCCCCACGGCGATTTATTGGTCCCGCCCGTAGCCGCCCCAGGCGACGGGAGTGTGCATAGGGAGGAGCAGAGACCTGGGGCAACCCGGGCTTGGGAAGCACAGGAAAAGAGTTCCAGACGCCACATTTCTCTCCTCTTTGCAGGCCATGGATGAACCAGGAATGAGCCTTCTGGACCACAATGAGTCCGTGATTAAGAAAGGTAAGGAATGGCGAGCGTCTGCCCGAGCCGAACCGAGATGGTGCAGGCCCTGGGCACACAGACCAATTTTCTTCCCAGTGACCCGTGACTCTAGTGCTCCCGGCATGCCTCCCCGCCCAGTAGCGGGACAGCGGCGGAGGCGGCGGGCCTGGTCTGAGCTGGGGCAGCTCCGTAGATTTGGGTAATTGGTCCCCGAATTTGCGGCCTGAGCGCCCCCGCCCCCCGCGCCCCGACGCAACGCGCAGCACAGGGAAGGGCTTGGCCTCTCGCCTCCAGGAGGAGGGCTCTCCTGTAGATTTGGAGTTCTTTTGCAGAACGAGTTAAGCCACTTCCCTGTTTTCCAAGAGGTAGTAATGGGAATGCTGTTCACACAGATTTTGGTAAATGATTTCCACTGCACAGAGCCTTACCATTTCCGAGCCTGGCAAACAGTTTCTGCCTCATCCTTCCGGCAGTACCTTGGGGACTTCACGTTCCCAGGGGAAATGCCTCTCTCCACGCAGGAACCTCTGGTGATGTTTAGGATTAGGGGAGCTGCGTGTTAATAATGTGTATTAGGTTGTGTGCTCACGGTCAGGGTGGGCCTGCTTCTGAGGGTCATTGTCTATGAGTTCAGGGGCCTGTATGTGTCAGCTTTTCTAAGTGTTTCAGTGTTTCCGCATCTGTATGTCTGTGTTACTGTGTGTATTTGTGATGTGTCTGGTATGTTGGTGTACATTTCCACGTGCTTGGGGGAGGGGCATCTCTGTGCGTGTCAGGGTCTCTGTTGTGTCCAGGAATTTTTTCCTTTGATTTCTGAGGATCCCTGAGCATATGAGGGTCTCTCTCTGTGTATTTGTGGGGGCATTCGTGTCTTATTGCAATACTAAATGCCAGGGGTGTGAGCCCCACAGGAAGGGTGGGTTTTTGGGCCTGAGGATTGAGTTCTGGCTGCACCAAGCAGAGGCATATCTAGAGTATGGTAGATATGGCATGTGCCCTGGGGGCCACTTTAGGGTGTGAGGAACCAGTGGGCAGTTTCCATGCCAGCTGTGAGAGATCATTCAGCGATTTAAAACAAATTGCCATAGCCATATTTTCTGAACATATAACTCTGGTGGCAAGGAAAGGTCATAGAAAGGGAGAGAGACTCAGAGGGGCCCAGGCCTTAGGCGGACTCCTTAGATTTGGGGCGTGACCCTAGGAGGAATTAGCAGGTGCAGAGGAGGCCTCAGTGCCTAGGGCAGACACTGCTCCCACAGGATTCGGCTTCAGTTGTTTTTTCAAACGAGTGTATTCGAGCCCAGACTCTGGATGCTTTTAGGGAAGGCTTGGGGTGGAGGGTGGGGGCTAATAGGAGCTGAGAGGTGGAAGAGCAAGTGTCAAACGTCCTGGAGCTGGCGGGTGGAGGGATAGAGGAAGGGCTGGAATTCTAGGAGCTGGGGCTGGGTTATCAAAACCTGAGAGTTGTCTGGATGGCCTGGAGTGTACGGAGGGGAAAAAAGGGCATTGCTCTCCCAGAACCTGGGGGGAGGGCTCCAGAAATTGGGGCTGAGTTACCTGGAACTGTGGGCGTGGAGAGAGAGGACGCTGGGGACCCGGCTGCCTGGAGTCCAAACAGAGGTTTGCCCAGGAAACAGCTCTTTGTTGGTGGGCGCGGCGTTGGCTTAACGGACTGCGCCTTTAATAAACCCGAAAGAAGGGATAACGTGGTCTGCAATCAACAAGACCCTGCCTGCCGCAGGACTCCGTCCACCCGAAGATAACTACCATAGTCGCGGCCCCCTGTTCCTGACTCCCGCATGGGCTCGAGGGGGTGCGGAACTAGGCTCGCTGACATCCAAGAGGAGACCAAGACATTGCATCTTGGGAAGAGGCTTGGGGGCCTCAGAGCTGAGGAAGAGAAGGGTTAGCCTGGCTCTGGACACTTTGACAACACCCCCCCACCCCGGCCAGAGCCGGGCCAGGATATTGGCCATCAGAAGGAGGGACTGGAATCTCCGGCAGTTTGAGAGTTGGTGTCTTTCAAAGGACATCCGTTTGCATAAATTCCAGACCTTCTAGATCCAAAACGTGGTCTCAAGAAAACTAATGCGACTCGAACGGCCCCGGGTGCTGTGCACTACCTAGGGCGATGTAGGCGCCGGTCGTGGACGTGGGAGCGCAAAGCGGCCGGACTGCAGTGCCAGCCTGTCGGTGGCCGAGGGGGGCGTGGTGGTTCTCCGCCTGTGAACTAGGGACGTCGCACCCCGGACGTCGAATCACAACTTCAAGCGCTGCAGCAAAGGGGGAAGGGACAAGAGCCGAGCGGAGGGAAGCACTTGATTCCCCGCTTGGTTCCCGAGCCAGGTAGCTTGGCCTCTTAGGGGAAGAGAGCGAGTCAGTGCCGGCACTATTTGGTTTCGTACACGTCGGCGCAGGGCTGGCATCTAGTGGTCCTGACCTTGGAGGTGGGTGCAGCCGATTGGCGCCGACCCAAGCGGAGTCTGCGGAGCTGGTGGCCAGGCTGGATCCCTGCACACTGCAGCGTCGATACCCCGCGCACTAGGCAAATTTCGGCTCGTACCCTCCATCACTTTGGGACTCCGGCCTCGCCACAGCCGCGGGCCTCCCTTGGGGCCGTGGGTTGGAGCGTTTCTTCGCTTTCGGGTCCTTCCGACGGCGTCTTGAGCCCGAAGGTGTCCCGTGGACCCCCGGCGCCCCCTCAGTATAGTGGAGGACTGCGCGCCCATCATGAGTCCTGAAATTATAGAAAGTCATTCTTGGCTAACTGCAGTCCGGTTCCACCAGCTTCTCTCCGCCTGGCTGAGAGGAGGACTGCGTAACAGGCAGTTGGGGTCCGGGTGAGAAACGGAGTAGGCTCCTGCTCTCCAGAAGTGGTCTTTGTGCCTCACGGAGACCTCCCGCCTGGACTTGGCCTGGAAGCTTTCCGGACTCGGACCTTAGTTGTAAAATTTTTGCTGAACCTGAGCACTTGTCCTGGAAAGGGTGGCCAAATTCTCACCCCACTACGAATCCCCCTGCCTTCCAGGTGGGCAGCCCTGTTGAGAAGCCAAGGTGTGGATCTGGGCTGACCTGAGGTGAAATGAGCCCTCCATTTTCAGCCTACATTTGTCACCTCCAGTTTTGCAACTCCTCCCAGGCATGCCCCAGGGACACAGAAACAGGTGGGACTGCTAGGTAGGAAAAATAGACCTGGACCGAAGTTTTCCAACCAAAAAGGGCAGTGAAAGGGGTCTTTACAGAATGCTGTGGGAACTTTTAGAAGCCAGTGGTGGGTGCCTGGGGTAGAGGCTTCCTAGAAGAGGGACATTTGGACAGGACTCAGTAAGTGTTCAATGGATGTTTGCTGAGTGAATGAATGATGGGTTTTGAAATCTGTGTGCATTGGGAAAAAAGGTGTAGCATGGGCTGAGTTACTTTCACCACACTAGGCACAGCATGCACAGATAAATGCCTTCTCTGTGGGAAGGCCAGATAGGTTAAAAACTTGGGTCAGTTTCAGGTTCTACAGTCACAGCTTGAAGGGAGAGTCTTTCTTTCTTTTTTTTTTTTTTTGCAAACCCTAAAGTCAGTTCTTAAGATTTTGGTTTTTTTGTTTGTTTGTTTGTTTTTGTTTTTTAAATTTTTATTGTGATTTGGGTGAAAGTTTACAGAGCAAATTCATTTTCCATACAGCAGTTCACGTACACTTTGTCTCCACCCGTAGATGAATTTTTGCCATCACTGACAACGCAGTACTATACCTACTGCATACAGAATGTAAGGAGGCACCAAGAAATGAACTATTCAAGAGAAATAATATCTTAAAAAAATAAGAATGCAAGAATGTATAATAAAACTTCAAAAAATTAAAGACAAAATCTGAGCATGTACTTGTACTCACTAGCCTCACCCTCATCTCAGCTTTGCCTCCAAGGCTACAGTCTGCCCCAGAAAGTGACTAAAAGACCAGGGCCTATGCAGATAGAGTTTGGTCTACCTGAGGGTAAGGGGGCCATACAAGAATGTGGATCAGGGGACTGACTGATTGGAACTGTATTTAAAAGAAGCCCTCTGGCTGTTGGTGAGAGGGAGACTTAGCCAGCAGGTCCACTTGAGAAGGTGAGGGGACTCAGAAGGGCTAGAGGGAGAGTCACTACCCCTTCTGTCTGCCTTCCTGCTGTCTTCCTCACCTCCATCAGACTGTGGACACTTGTGGGCTAAGGAACCACAAGCATCAGAATTACCTGGGTGGGGTGCTTGTTAAAAATGCAAGTTTCCTGAGAACCAACCCACACCTACCTGATGAGAACCCCTGGAGGTGTGGCCCAAAATTTTCATTTTTTAAACTGAGTTATCGAGGTAACATTTTCGTACTCAAATTCAATCATGTAAGAGTCCAATTCAGTGATTTTAAAAACTATTACTATTGTTTATTTTATTTTGAGTGAAATTACACTCAACAGATTATATACCCAGTCAACAATTTCTACAAGTATAGCTGAATGACACTGGTTACTTTCTTCCTTTTGTCACCATTCTCAGTATTTCTCCCCACATTATTTCACCACCATTGATGTAGCCTAATCAATAAATCCCATAAACTGCTCATCTATGTTTTAGAGTTATTGTTGTCAATTGGCTCTCATATAAATAATTACTTAAAAGAGTGCAATGCTCAAGACAAACATTCTTCACTAATTCATCTGAACTGCTGCAATTCAATGATTTTTAGTAAATTTATAGAATTGTGTAACTATCACCATGATGTTTTCCATCACCCCCTGAAATTCTCTCATTCGCGTTTGTAGTTAATCCTCACTCCACCCCCCACCCCAGGCAATCACTGATCTCCTTTCTATCTATAAATGTGCATATTCTGGATGTTTCATATAAATGGAATCATAAAATATAGAGACTTTTTTTTTCATCTAGGTTCTTAGCATAATGTTTTTGACATTCATCCGTGTTGTAGCATTTATCAGTAGTTCATTTCTTTTTATTGTATGAAATACATTTTGTTTATCCATTTGTCATAT